CGGCTTGGCAGTGGCCATTGAAAGGGCGCAGCAGCCTTATTTGAGGCAGTCTAGTACGCCCCTCGTGGAGGGATTACCAGCAGTGACACGATTTGATCACCGTGTCCAATCAGCGCTGAAAGAGGCCAGGGCGTGCTTAGAGAAAGCACGAGATAGGCAGTCGAAGCATGCTGACCACCATCGAAGAGAGGTGTCGTTTAGTAAAGGAGATGACATCCTCCTTTCGACACAGCATATTACTCTCAAACACCCTGGAACTCGAAAACTATTACCGAGGTGGATTGGGCCCTTCACCATCCTCGACCGGATAGGTTCTGTCGCATATCGACTAGAACTCCCGGAAAGCATGCATAGGATACATCCAGTATTTCATGTATCGAAAATTAAGCCTTATAAGGCAAGTGGCAGAGTACAGCCACCCCCAGTACCTATCGAGATCGAAGGTGAACTGGAGTATGAAGTTGAACGTATCCTTGATAAAAGGATTAAAAAGCGTGGGAGACGCAAAAACTATGTTGAGTACCTTGTCAAATGGCTGGGATATGGACATGAGCATAACAGCTGGGAATCAGCAAAGTCAGTTGCAAATGCACAGGAATAGGTTCAAGCATTTGAAAATGGCAGAACACCTGTGATGCGAATGCAAACTGCATGAAGTACGGGATGTACATACTGAAACATGCTCATGTGTGCTTATGCTTTTGACAGGTTCTCTTGCGCTGGGCCCAGAAAAACACTGGGTATACTGCCCCCCGTGCGGGGACACAGTTCGCCCACATGAACGCCATGTCAGTGAACATCCTCAACGGGGAGAGGTTGGACACCGCCGACCCCTACGTGCCATTTCCCCGTGCGCCTGAGCGTGCACGCCGACGTGGGCGACGGCGGGGTGCCGCACCGGGCCGATCTGGACCGGCGTGGGCTTTTGGTGGTACTCGGCATCGTGGTCGCCGATGAAAGGCCGGGAGGTCAAACATTTCCAGCCACTGGGCTGAGGAAGAGTTTTAATGAGGGTTGTAAAGGCCGGGACGGTCATGTAAAACAACCACTCTTTCTCTTCATCCAAAATTGTTTTGTGTGTTGTGTTTTGTTAACTGGGCATGTGGCAAATCGCACAGCCAGTTCCACCAACATACATACAATGTTTCTGCTCCCGTATTCACTTATACTTGGGACGAGGACGCCCCTCTCCCTGAGGGGGACGAATGTTACGCGCACCAGCCTGATGTGGGAGACGTCCTACTAATGGCCCTTGGTGTGGGGGACGCCCTGCCCAAGGCACGTACTATTCCTCACCCACTGTAACCTTTATCCATATTAGGATACGGGAGTAGGAGGAGTGGTCCCGCCTAGGTGCCCTGTAAGGACCTAGGTGCCCGGCGAGGCGGGTCCGCGGCTCAAAGAGGGCAGGAACCCCACACCCACATCCTATTCGTAACATCCAGGCTTAGCCGGACCCTTCGCTGATTCGTCCGCCTAAGGAGGCCTTTCAGCCGCCGCTTCGGCGCCCTCCGCCATCTTCGAGCTAGCCCTTGGCTGGTCCCCATGCTCCTCTTGAGCCCTCCGTTTTGTGTCTTGTTTTGCAGCCCTCGTTTCCGGCTGGATGAGCCTGCTCCCCCCTTCCCCGCTGTTCATCGGGCGGGGGTGCTTGCGGGACGCTCGATGGGTCACTCTCCTGATTTGGCTAGAGTAGCGGGATCCTTGATCTCCACCCTGCCTTCTGGGAGTGCCTGGGGGTCCTTTCTCCCCTTTCTCTTTCTATTGCCCTTCCCTTCCTGACCGTCCAAGGGTTGCGGCGCGCATTGGGGACTGTTGCGACCCCTCTAGGGTGCCCGCATTGTCTCTTATTGCTTGGTACGGGTTTAGAGGTAGCAATGCAGGGTTCTCCACGGATTCTCGGAGGGGGGCTGTGCTGGACATGCCACCCCCTCCCTTGTTCCTCGCTCCTTGTTACGCCTCTTGTCCATTTGGGGGGGGGGGGCAGTTTCGCCTGTCCTCCCCTATGTGTGCGTGCCTCTCCCGTGCCCGCCCTTTCCGGGACCCAGCTACGCCATCTTCCTGGCTCCTCGTAGTCGATGCTATTCGGGGTTCCCCTATACCATGAGCCCCCCCCTGGCCACTACGCACAGCCTTCCCCTGCGCGTTCTTGTTACCCACCTCCTTGGGTTCGGCACATCACTGTTGCCCAATGACTTTTCACCGTTACACACCATGCTGTTTCCCTCGCGGCTCCTTCCCGCGCTATCTCTGGTGTTTGTCGCCCCCGCACTCTCTTCGCCCCCCGCCCCTTCGGCGGGCTACTGGCGCCCCTTCCCCCCCCGCTCACTGTACCTCCCGCTTCTCGCATCCGATTGCCCAGTCCTGCCTTTCTCGGACATCCAATCGTCGCGGGTCGCGACTAAGGGGGGGGGGGAGTGATGTACTGGTTTAGACGGTACATGGGGCAATAATACGATATCCGGTCCGATGGGACTTCGGATATTGTATTCTAACAATAATAATAATAACCCAGACCTGGGCGGTGGCCGCCAGTATTATAGTGCTGGTGCCCGGGTGTGGTCCCAAGTACGTAGTACTTGGGATCCGGTGTTGGGTCCCGGGACTAATGGCCTTCGAGTGCCCGCACTGGGCAACCAGTTTCCCTATCAAACAACCCCTTTGCGTGCCCCCTCACCGTGGCGCGCAACACAAAGTGATCCGCCTGAGAGGGGGGGGACCGCCGTGAACTGTCAGAGCGCCATGTGCGCTGCGCGACCGCCCCCGCGATGAGCGGGGCGCTGAGGCACGACACCAGAGGTGCCACCCAAGTCGGATGCTCACCGTCACAGGGCTCCGCCATGCGCGGGCGCTCCTGACCGGCGCGCCGGCGGACGGGCTGAGCCGGCCCGTGCGCGATGAGCGTAGCCGGAGAGAAGCTAGGCGCCGCCAACGGCGGAGGTGATCCGCGCCCGACCGGTATGCGCGCCGGCTGAGCGCGCAGCGTGCCGCGGCCGCGAAAAACCGGGGGTGGGGCCCGAGCGACGCGCGAACGCTGCAGGAGGATGGGGCGCCGCCGGCGATTCGTTGCGAACCCAACGTGCGGGCAGGCCGACGGTGCGCCGGGGCTGCCCGTGGGCGAGCCGCGATGCGAGAGGGTGTGTCGCAAAATTCTCTCCGCTTCCTGCTAGCGCGGCTCGCTCTCCCCGCCGCCGTGCTTACCATCCTTTGCGCTTGCTTCCGCGGCAGGCTGGCGGCGGCGGTCGCGCTAGGTTATGGCCCGCAGCGCTTGACGCGAGGAGCGATAGCCTTGGTCTCCGTGCTGTGCACTTTAACCCATCAGACGTGGTCCTGGCGCGTCCGCGCTCATTAATCTCCGTTAATCATGTTAAGAATGCCGCTCAGTGTCGTGGTTTCAAAACAAACCTTGTTTTTGGAATTCCAATGTATTACATCAAATGATAAACAGAGGAGCTCCCCCACAAATCGTAAAGTATGCAAAGATCCTTTTCCAGCAGAAGCCGGTGCAGGATCGTCAACAGGGGCAAAAGAAACCTTGGGCGAGTGGGAGTGCCGGGGACTAACAAGGCTCTTTTTGTCGAGTGCACTAAGGCGCTGAGGGGCCCTTGACACAAGAGCCGACCTCGCTCTTTTGGGGTGACCACTTCAGCACAGCGGCGTCCCGCACCTGTTCCTCGGCAGGATTCCGATTTCGTGCCGCGCGGGGGTCGGGGCTGTGATGAGGTACTATCGGGCCAACACAATGGACAGCGATAATCCATGGTCGCAACCATGCTCCCTTTGGGGCTCGGCGACCTGGCCATTCGGTGCCTGGGACAGGCCCGTGTCCGGACAGGGCAGCATACCCTGAGCGTGCCGGGCCGCACCGCGCCCAGACGTGTTCAGAATAGGCGAGTCGATCATGCTACCTCGTGTGTGGAGTGCGGGGGGGGGCATCGCGGCCGAGGAATCAAAACCATTTGAGGGTCGCAACAACTTTTCGTCGCTCAGCGTAGCGGAGACTCCAGAGATCCCTGGAGGTTGTTGCGTCCGCCATTGGATCCAACCAACCCACTTTCCAGCAGGAACAGCTGACGATTGATTCAGACGTTCCGCAACGTGCAAATGAATGATTGGTTGCTGATTGTCCAGCCTAACTGAGCAACTCCACAGAACAGCAACAAACTGTGTCAGGCATTCAAATTGACTTGGATCCCCATCAGGGGATCAGAATGGTACACGATGCCCTGCATACCTCGCAAGTGCATAAGCAACATGCTGGCCAGCCCGACTCCTGCGAAAAGAAGCAAGTTCCCCAGACACAGATCCAGACGCCTGTGGAGACCCCATCATGCTGCTCTTCACCCTTGCTGCGATAGCGCCACAGTGAGGGGAAACCAGGAACAGAATGCCAGCACAAGTCACAAGATGAATTTCTTAAACTGTTGGGGTCTGCACACACTCTCAAAGTGGCGTCTCGCACACAGAAACTCAGCCAACTACAATAACAGCATAAAATTCAAACACTCTTCTCTGCCTCGAGGAAGAGTCCAGCCACACCAGTCTTGCACCCAAACAAACCTCCACCGTGGGCGAGGGTGGCCTTGTCTTGCGAAGCCAGTTCCTTTTCTCACAAGCAAACTCAGCCCCTGCTGGAAGGCTGCAAATGCTGGGGTGTCGATGCCAACCCTCATCGGCACAGCGACGCCGTGCGATGGCAAAACAACCCCATGTCGACACCTCCCTTGGCTGGAACGACAAACCAAAAGCAAGCGACCCAAAGAATCCCACCCCCAAAGTCATCTGAAATCATCACCAAACGAAGTGAGCCCAACGACCATGGCACAAGCAGCATGGCGAACAGGCGCAGTGTGGGCCAACCGCACGGGCCCCAAGAAGGCCCTCTGAGAACTGCCCGTCTTCTGTGGAAGCGAGCAGGTTCATGGCTGATTAACACGGCCCGATCCACACCAACAAGGCAAACGACATCTGCCTGCAACCCAACCGGCTGTATTGTACACCCAGCATACGTCGCCCCGCCTCCTGATCGACAAATCCCAACAAAGCAAATTGACAAGCAATCAAATAATTGTTGCCCATTCAGCCCCCCAACCTCTTCCCTTTGCATTCAAGAACTGTTATGACCACTTCACGCCTGCTTCAGCTGCAGATTGCCCTCTTCCTCCTCACCACTCTTTTGGGATCGCTTGTGACACGAGTCAGCCCTAACCGGCAGGTTTCTCCAGAAGACAGCGAGGGCGGACCCAAGCCCTGCTTGAAACAGCACACTCACAGCGGAGGGGACCATCACCAGCGGGTCGTTGAAGTGCCTCTGCGCCAGCAGGAAGCCCAGGGCGGAGCTCTGCATGCCTGGCCAACGGGCAGTAAACAGTGGAGGCACATCAGATTTGGTAGATCCAAAGACGGCAGAGTCAGGACTGGTCCACAGGGATGCCAACCAGCCAGCTGGATTCCGGCCAAGAGTCCAGGAAGCTTGGAAACGTCAGATAGAATGAGTGCGGCGAGCAGTGGCAGCCACACAACTGGACAGAAGCAAGATTTGAACACTTAAATATGGTGTGCAATCTTGGAATATTCAAGAAATATGGTGTACTCTGGCTGTTTAAGCATTAATGCTCACACAATGAATACACTACGTTGATACATTGCACATGTACACTCGATGTATTGATACATGATGCAAGGGCCACCCAGCAACGTCATTCAACTTCTGTTGGTCAGTTGCTACAACACATTCACTCCCTTTTCCTTAATAGCCAAGTCTCACTCGTTGCAAGAGTGGCACAGTGCTGCATGACTTGGAGCGCAAAAAGGATGCATGGCACTGCACACCTGTCTCAATTGAAACGGTCCTGCACTCCCTTTCAGGGAAGTGTGACAACCTGCTGAGAATGTAGCCCAATGGGAATGCAAGTGCATGCAGCAGGAAGACTGGCAGCACAAGCTTCAGGCCGTTGAGTTTGAGCACAGCAGCTGACTGACCAACAGGGCTGGCAGTGAGGATGGTGGTCAGTGCAACGCCTATGACAGGCAGGATCGGGGTGATCTTCCTCACTGTCTCATGCGCCAGCTCATTCAGCATCACCCCCACCAGGGTGGGCACCAGGACGACCTGTAGAGTTGACAGGGCCAACCCCTGCAGACACATGTGCCACGTTATTTAAGACATCACCTGTCACTCTTCGATTCTTGCAACAATCACGTCCACACATCCAAGAGCCCATTTGCTGCATGCCCCAAGCTATATTTCTCAGGCACATACTGCATGTTCAGGAGTTCAGTGACAAATCATTGCCTTGTGCAGCAGCTCGGCAAAACCACCAGGAAAACTTGCATTTGAATACACAAGGCCAGTTGGTAAAAACAGAGGCTGCAAGGCAGTGGTGGGATATTAGAAACAAATAAAAACCCAAACGGCCTTTATGATGCCCTGCACATCACCTGGCCGAGATGAATCATGTTGCGTTCATATTCTGAGCTGCTCTGGATTTGCATCGAAACGAATTGTACCAATATGCACAGGCCAAAGGAAGGACCAGAGACAGAGAGACAGCTGGGTCACGCCCTCTCACCATGGCATCGACGGGGACCAGAGTGCCAGCCAACAATTTTGTCAGCAAGGGCGTCATCAGTATGGCACCAATCGTCGATGCTGTCGTCATCAGCACGGATAGGGCAACATCACCATTGGCGATATACGTTGCGACGTTGGAGGACTGCCACAGCACAGAGTGGGGTTCAGAACATAGAAACATGGGGCAGGACCAAGGACCAAAGACTGCAGATGGGACCTGCAGCATAGCACAGTGCCTGTTTGCCTGACCATTATTTGTGAGACATGCGCACAACATCAACTGATTCTGAGGTATTCAGAACATTGCTTGAGAGTAAAGGAGACCATGCTGTCGATGTTGGAAGAGTTGGTCAAGTCATGTGGGAATTCTCGGTGAGCAGATGTGGCAAGAGGAATCAGCAGGGGTTACCAATGACACCTTACTATTGCATGCCTGGCGCAGGTGGTTTCCTTTATTGGCTGCCATGGGACAAGGCAAGACTTGCAGCTTTTTACTGATTCCATATTCTTCGGCAATTAGTGCCCTTGATGAGAGCAAGGTTAGTGCCCACACCACTTGCGGTCCTTGGCAACTGCTATTGACTTGGGCACTAGTGTGCAAAGAGAAAAAAAAAGGCACAACCCACCATTGTGCCTACAGGTAGCACAGTGCAACTGAGTGCATAAATCTACACACAACCAGTACTGCACAGCACACCTAAAGCCACCTTCTGGCACCGCTGCTACGACTGGCATGAAATGTTGGTGAGAAACTGAAACTATGCACCAATTCAAACAAAGTGAAAGCAACTCACCTGACCCCCTGGACAGCAAGCCACGAGGATGAGACCTGTCGCCAGTGCTGGACTCAGGTGTAACGCCTACACAATAAAAGGACCAAACTCAGGGTCTCAACCAATTATATATTGTATGCTCCAAACAAGCCCTGCAGGCTGGGTGGGAAGGACTAGCCAACAGTGCAAAGCGTTTCATTCCCCAAAGCCCATGCCTGGCTTGAACAGAAATAAAAAATTGGAAGGATTCTTTTGACACGTGGCAGTTTTTGGCCCCACGGACACTTGCAACTGAGGACAACCATCGTGTCCTGGGATGGCTGGGCTTTGCTCAAGAGGCGTGCATTGTGCCTTGTGTTCGTTGCACATAACCCTGTGCGGCAGCCAATGCAAGGCTGTAACCATATGCAGCCATCCTGTTGGGTCCTTGCGTGCAGTGAACACACCTTCTCTTTAGATCAATACAAGCAGTGATGGGGTGATGATTGTCAATCTGTAAATGTGTTGGTGCTTTGCTGGCATAAGATGCTGGTGAAATGTAGATAACAGTGAAGCTGGATGTTGTACAATGCGCACCACCCACAAGGCAATGTCTTTCTTGCAGTGGACCGTGCCATTTGTCTGGCTTTGACCCCACCGAACAGCAACCTATACTGCACCCCTATGGAATTGAAATGGACCCCACCACACAGAATGATACAAGTATACCATCCCACATTATGTGTACAAGCTGAAAATGTTGAAAGCTCCAAGAGTATTATAAGGATGTATCTTACCCTAGCCAAAGCAAAGCCCAGCATTGGCTTAACTAGGTACTGTGCAAAAAACCCAACGATGACAGGAAGCGGCCTCCTCGCACACTGCAAAACACATACAAAGCACATTCAAACATCATACCATAGCATCAAACAAGAAGAACCACACACAACACATGACACAGCCACCAGCTGCCCTCCACCGCAACTTCAGGGAGGGATTACTTCCAGCACCTGCTTTGTGTTTGATACGTGTGAGAGAAACACAGACTCCATCATCGACTGTTCGATGGAATGGGGCTAATGACACTCACGTGGTCAAGATCGTTTTAGCGCCAGAGAGGCCTGGACGGCGAAAACAGAACAGAACATGAAAGTCAGATGGAAACTGCTGGCCACCGCCTGTGTGCAACCAGGCTCTCAACCATTTGCCTTGAGCGAGACAACTCATGGCTTCCGCTTAATGGCCAAAATGCAGACTTCATCGTTGACAACATGCAGCAGAATGTCGGGGACAATGACACACTAAGACACACATCTGACACATGTTCAGCATGTCAGTTTGATGAGCAAGTCATGGCAGGAGGCTGTCCTTGGCTTCTTGCAGGGCAGTAAGGGGCCCAATGCAAGATTGGCAGCTACTCACATTCTTGAAGTCTTGAAAAGTCATTGTGAGACCCATCGACAACATGAGGAAGCCCAACGCACTGGTGAACAGGTCGCTGGTGAACCACGTGACCGCTGAGGGCCTTGTGATTCCAACAGCAACTCCCAAACACACCTGCAGGGCCAGCAGGCAGAAGTGCTGATTCTTCTGCAAATAACCAAGGAATGCAAGGAGGCTGCCAAAATTTGAGAAACTCTGAGATACAGCAGTGAGTTGTAAGCAACACAGCAAGATTGTTCAGCAGTGACTATGAACATGGAATCGAGCTCTGAAATGTGTGTGATGTTGTCCAGCATTGAGGTCAATGCTGCACGGGGTGGGACGCCACAATCTGCTGCAACAACAGAAATTTGGAAAACATTCGATATGTCCATTCCTTTTGGGTTCGGGCATGGATCCACAATATGGTTCTTTTCATGGGGAGCTGGCAGCTTCTCCACTTCCATCATCTTCTTATGTGTGCATTGACTCACAGGAACTACCCTCATCTGCACTGCAAACAACACATGCATGCTCTACTCGCACGAATGGAACTCCTACTTCATCATTCGTTATTCATGTTGGCACTTGCCTTGAAGCAGAGACCTGTGAATGCCTGCTGTATTTTGCCACAATCTTCAAGGTTTCAATTGCCATTTATGCAAATAGAGGTGATCAGGTGCAGAGCGGTGACAAACACAAAATTGTACACACTCACTGACAACCCTGAGGAAGCTCCATCCCAAACAGTCATCAGTTACAATCCAGCTGTCTTGCATATTTCCTGCGGATAGATTTGGAATTCTGCTGAAGCCCATCGGCATTGTTCTGGATGCAGGCCAATTTGAATGTGGTTTGCTTCACAGCATACTCATACTTTACGTCTGCACTTGCTGAAGACGGGTCAATTCCAATCTTTGAGTTTGTACAGGGGGACATGCCTTGCAGTTTAGGAAAGTATGAAATGTAAGGACATTGGTCCTTCCAGTTTCTGCTATTGATTGCCATGCAGGCAGCCAATTTCTGGCATTGTTGCAAACCTGTCTGAAACAATGCTAACAGTTCTGCCCATTGTGAGGGGAGCATTCTCTGTCGTGAGCTCATCGCTGAGCACCTTGGGAGGCATTCACTAGTGTGACACCAAGCCACCATCCAGAGAACGTCCTGCCAAATGGCAGCTCCTGCCAAACACGTTTATGCATTGCTTGCCGACTTGCATTAGAGCAGCATCCTTTTCGTTTCCGTCTGCCTCCTTCGATACCAGTTGTGCGCAGTTCTCCTCAACGTTTTGGCCAGAGATACCAGATGATTGCAGGAAAGGCCGCAGAACTCCTCAATCTTGGCGCTATCACTCTGCCTCAATTCGACCACTCACCCACACGGGAAACAGCGTCGTCACGACTTCGGCCACGCGCTCAAGGACGGCCCATCCATCCTGCTGGCCTCCCGGCCGCTTTGACAGCGAGCCCACATGCGCTGCACTGGCGTGGCACCTGCACCAACAGACAGGGGCGACCGCCATCAGGGGCCCAGTTTCGGCACGGGCGCCTCCACCGAACCGGCCTGCGACAGATTCGCTGTCAAACCAAAGACAAACATGTCATACAATGGACATTCCCCTCCTTAACGACCAAAGATGCGCTTCCTTGCCATACCGTGCGGGGCGATGCAGGGCATCCAACCGCGTGTGAACACATCACTGCGCGCATCCCCAGCAGCAAACAGGCGCCAGGGGCTGGGCTGCACAGGGCGCGCCCCCTGGGACTCGCAACCGATGCCGCACCCCTACGGTTTCGGCCCCACCCACCCGAACACGTGCACCGCCATGGGCCCCTGCCGATGCCCATCCCACCCCCCACATCAGCGCCTTCGATCTGTAGACCGCTCGCCGCCGATTCCGAACGCCGGGGCTAACCCCCTGGCCCACTCTCCCCCTTCACCCCGCGTCCCAAACGCCCTACCCCAACCTGGTGCCCCCAATTCAAAGACCTCCCGGCCGACGCGGGCCAGGACTCACCCGGTCCCTCCACGGTGATCCGCCACCACCGGCTTCACGGGCAGGCGCCTCCAGCCCGGCGGGCCCCTCGGCGCGGGCTGGCCGTGGATCGCGCCGCCGCGCCCGGCGCATCCCGCCCTCGAGCGCGCCGGAAAGCAGCTCCCGCGATGCCTTCCCGCGCAGAGGTCTCCCAGCGGGGTCCACCGGGCGGGCGACCTCAAGTGGCTCGCCATGCGTGCGGTGAACGAATCGGCGGCCTGTGTTTGCGTGCCCCTCCCAGTGGTTGTCCCCGTGGCGCCTTTTGCGTGCCAACGGGGGGCAAAGTGGACGCTTGGCTGTGTGTGGGCGGACACGCGCAGCGGATGTGGCGCCACAGGTTTTCGTGGCCTTAAGGGAGGGCCAGGAGAGGCCACGTGGCGGGACGGCGTTTCCAGGCGCTGCCGGGCGCGCCGCTGACCGGGGCATCAGGGAGGCATCAAGGAATCGAGCGGAAGGGCGTTGATACGATGGTGGCCATTTCTTGATTGACGGACTGGTGTTTGGGTGCTCTTGAAGGAAATGCCGTTGACGCGATTCAAACGGCTCCCTTTTTTTTCAATCCGTTGCAATTACATTTGCCAAAAATCATGGCAAAGCAAGCCCTGTCACCAAGCCGGCGATGTCGGGCTCCCTTTAGAACGCACACGGGAAGCGCGAATCCACGATCGCCGATGCTTCAACGGCGCTGGCACACGGCCACACGCAAGACCACACTTGCACAAGAAACGCCCGGAGCTTATACATTCGTTCGCCCTTCCCACAAAGAAGAGCCTTGCCGACGGTGGCAACGACCACGACCAGTTTTCGTGATGCATTCACAGCCACCCGTCCGCCTGTTCGGCCCCCAAGGGCCGCCATCAATCGCAAACCCGCATACAACATTTTAGCCACATGCCACCTCAGCAGGAGGTGCAGCCAACGTGTGAAACATGCCATCATCACATGGCCACTTTCAAAATTGTTGCAAGCCAAAGTGAAATATAAGGCGGTAACAATGTTGTAAATTTTCAGGAAACACACATCGCAAAGGCACCTTTGCACATTGCCGACAGGGCACCATGACCAAGGCATTTCTCTCTGAACAGCATGGCGTTTTAGCACAAACCTCACGTTGTCCCCAACAAACATGAATGTGATCGAAAACTGCCTCAAGAACCGAATTAGGTCAAAGAATCCAGAATTCATTCAAAGAAATGGCTTTCAGACACTGTCATGAACATGTCGTTTTTCTTTTTGTCACAAATTGCCAATTTTTAAGCAAAGTTTTACGCATAGGCTGGGAAAACATCAACTCAATGCTGCACCAGGAATAGTGGCATCCGGGCGTGAGTAACCCTTGCATGTTTCATAACAATAATTTTCCGCAACAGTGGATTTTCAAGCAAAAAAATGCACACCAATCGCTAGCCATCAAGCATATATGATCCACATAGTGAAGCAGTGGTGTTCGGGTCGCCAATAACGGTACTCATCAGCGAAAATAGTATTTTAATGATATTACTCAGTAGGCGACCCGTGAGGTCCAGAAGTGGGGAAAGCGGGTGTCGACAGCCTCAGCACCTTCACCAGTATGGCCAGCATTCAACAGGCTAATGTACAGTAAGGCTGGGCGAGCACAAAATCATCAAGCAAGGGTTCATAAATTCAGCAAATTAGTGCTGTGAAGGTTGATCTGACTATGGGTGTGAAAGCACCCATCGGCTGCATGTCAATTCTGCAACACGATTGTGTCATCCCTATTTCATTGATAACTGTTTTCAAGAAGTGTGTGCTTAAGAAACTGCGTCAGTAGACGGTGTTCTGGCCTCGATTTGGCCGACCTGTGTACTTTATGAAAGGGATCCCCGTATATGATGGAAGGGGTTTGCCCCCGTCGCGGTCTACTGAGGAACACGGAACACGATGAGACGGAGCTGGGGGAGTGTGCGTGGAGGCGCCACGTGGCTGTGATATGGGAGTATGACCCGCAGGGCATTCTGTTGCTGCTGACAGTGGGAAGTGGGGTGTACCGGACCAAATTGCGGCGATACGATGGTGTGGTAGGAAGATTCAAGGGAATCGAAAGATTCTATCACACAAAGGGGTAACAGTGAAGTGCTGGACGCCTTGGCCGGATACAAGTACGGAGGGCGCGAAGAGCACCGTAGAGGGCCGTGCGTTGTTGAATTCAGCATGGCGGCTGTAACAACGACTGCGTGTTGTTTCTCTGTGTCTCGCACGGTGGCCCAGGTATACGGCCTGGCTGCCTGAGTCCCCTTGCTGTGCGCGCCACGCGCGCCATGACCTGAGCGCAACAGCGCTCGACTTTTTGGAAGATCGCGGCCAATCTGGGCCGTTTTTGAGCCGTTTTTATTGCCGTTCACGACCAACACCGTGAGTGCGGTCCTGTTGCCGGGCAAAAGTGGCCAATCGTCGTCGCTTCACAGCCGTGACGAGAGGGAAAGAAGCCCTGCTGCATCATGCGCTGTTGCATTGTGGACGGGGCTGTCATGACCCATGGACCTAACCGACGTTTTGGACTTCGTCTACCTTTCAGGAGGTGCTGCGATGGGTTATGGCAGGCTTGGTTTTTACGCCGTAAAAACTGATCGTATTTTCGTTTTTACGCGTGAGAATAGTTTTTACGTTTTTATGCGTAAAAATGCGCAAAATACGTAAGTATAACGTAAAAACTGCCTGGTGTACATAAGGACAGTACATACAGATTTACAGAGTCCGGAGAGCGGCAGCCAGACGCCTTAGAAGAGGCAGAAGATGAGTTTTTGTTAAACGCCATTATCGCCCTTGCCAAGGGCGAGATGGACATTGTGTTGCGGGTGCTGGAGATGGCGGAGGACTGATCATTGTACGCAACTTTTGTCATGTAATCTACGTGTGCCAGGGAGCCGTAAAAACGTAAAAATAGCCGTAAAGATAGCCGTAAAAATAGGTCCTTTTGCAAATTTACGTTGTTACGCGTAAAAACGTAAAAGTAAAAACGTAAACGTAAACGTAAAAACCCAGACTGTTACGAGCCCTTTTACAAGGATATTTGCGTGCGTTGGCTAGCGATTGGTCATCTGCTGCCCGTTTGAGACGACCTTCTGCCGCCATTGCTGTTTTTGGTGGTAATCATCGTTGTGTCAAGCAGCGTTTTGAGAAGAACAAGTCCACACAAAGGAGAGCATCTTGCTCGTTCAGTGCACTTTCAAAGCAAGTGGATCTGAGGCAATCGATGTGGACCAGCCCCCCATGTGTACGGGAGAGGGTTATGTGTGGTTCCCATGGTGACCATCGACATATTGGATGGTCATTGCGCCGTCAACGGGGGTTGGATGTTGCGACGATGGACATGTGGCCATCTACAGCTGTTGTGCACTGCCAGAGGATCCCCATGCATTGGCAGCCAGAGTCCTGACATCACTTCATTTTCTGTCACTGTGCACATCCGGAAATTCTTCTGGCCATCAAGTCTGGTGGAGTTCTACAGTGGTCATTATGCGGCTAAGCGAACAGTACTACTTTTACAGGGGCGCGCCTGCTGGTGATCGCTCATTGGCCATGGAAGCGGCTTCGGTCACAAGCCGCCGCCAACAGCAGGCTGAGTTCTGCTGCGTGGTTTCGCTGCACGAGCTTACGTAAACGGGAACAAGATGCAATCATTGATGGACGATTGCATCCTATGCAGGGCAGATGGAGCACAGCGGCCGTTAGCAAAAGGAGCTGGATCACTAGGGAAAAGAGCACTGCGCATTCCAACACAGACGGAAACAAGCGAGCGGATTGTCAGCCCCCCCTTCTGAAATCGTGGCCCATGCTAGTTGTTCTGGAGGAATACACCAGGTGGTGAGAAGGAAGGGAAGGAAATGCTGCTGCGCATCCACAGGCAACTGCGATTGTACAACAATTGTGTAGGCCAGGTTAAGCACGCTGCATGCTACTACCCTGTTGAACAAGGAGTCGATTTGGCGCCTGTTGAGCCCCTCCACTGTGTGGAAGGTGTCCTGATGGACAAGCAGGCATAGTCGTGTAATCTATCGTGAGTGCTTGTATTGGTTGAGGTCTGTGAGCTTTAGGTGCAAGCTATGCATGTGCATGTGTTTTATAGCTGGATGCGTTCCCAGAGGTTCCCAACATACACCTTGCAAGGTGTTTTGCATTCAATAGTGTCTATTTAATGGTGAGGCCAGCGTGTTTGAGACACTGCCCACCTATTTGTTGCCAACCCATTGCAATTACCATGTTCAAGAATCAGAACAACACAACAGCAACCAACAGACTGCTCAATGCTGTCAGGAAACAAGGTAGGCTACAATTTACAAGCTGCAAGTGCACTGTGATATCCAATCTATTATCAATTGGCATGAACTCGAAGTAGAATTTCATCACATTTGCCTGTGCTAGTCTATACTGCATAATGACAAAACCCAGGCAGTCCTCACGCCAACCCCTTCATCATTTCCCTTCCTGTGCAGAACCATCTTTGCTTGCACACTATCAACAGTTACGCCATATTTTCTGAAGTACCAAAAGGTTTGGATGGATCTCACCCAACAGCATCATCTCCAGTCAAAATCCATCTCTGGGAAGTCGCTCCACTTCTTCAAAATTGAGCTAGCTGCTAAGTGAAAATGCCTAATCGCTCAAGAAAGCAGCAACACTCTGGTGGGGTTCACCCAGCACTTTCTTTGCCCTTTCCAGCACTTGTTTGCGAAGCCTCTGTGGTTTTTTGCACTTCCCCTATTTGTCAAGCACCACAGCCAAGTTATTCGAGTAATCAGCAAGATGTGGATGGGCAACATCCAAAAGCTTCTTACCCATTTCCACTGCCTGCCTATGAAGCATTTCTGCATTCTCATACTGCCCTTTCTTCGCCAGCACCAATGCCAAATTGTTCAAGGTAGATGCAATATCAGGGTGGAGCTCACCCAACACTTTTCTTCTCATTTCCAAACACTCTCTGTGCAGACTCTCTGCCTGCTCATACTGCTTCTGGAGTCTAAGTGTCACTGCCAAATTGTCCAAAGACTCGGCAACATCTGGATGAATGTCACCAAATATCTTCCTCCTCATTGCCAGCCCTATCCTGTGAAGTAACTCTGCTTCTTGGTACTTGCCCTGCCATCCCAGAACCAAAGCCAAATTGTTGAGGGCAGTCGCAACATCTGGGTGCACCTCACCTAGCACATCTCTCCTCATATCTAACCCCTCCCTG